TTTTTTTGTTTGTCTATCACACCTCCCATATTTTGAACATCACACATTTAAAAGTGTCGAAATAAGGTATGTTTTTCCAGAGAAGGACATATTTGTGTTTGATTTTGAAACTTAAAATATTGTCGATACAAACTAGTTTGTATTTTTTAGTTCCATGAATTATAAAGTTTGGGCTTTTATGATTCATTCGAACACTTCGTAACGTTGTAAAATTTTAAAGTACGTTAAAAAGGAAATTCTTAGATCAAAATTTCTGTAAAATGCTTACTATTTTTTGCGCACTATATGCGGAGAAAATAATTATGGTGAAACTACCGTACTAGATGAAAACTAAAGTAAACGTTATTTAAATCATTAATTTGGATAATTTTTCCACCCGCAAGGTAATGGTTTATTGAAAATTCTGGCTTTTAAAATTATAATTCTTATAACACATTCAGTGAAAAATTCTAAACTGAAAAGTAAATTTAACCTAATAAAAGGTTTTTATGCAATATTCAAAGGTATCATGAGGAAACTATCAAATATTACCACCCTTACCAAATTTTACCACCCACTAAAAAATCATATTTTATAATTAATATTAAAATGAGCATTTTTTTCAGCGTGTTATGCAAAAGGAGATATATTAGCGATTACTTTAATAAATTTAATGTAAAAGCCTAAAATTATAACAGGTGCCCCCAAAGTAAAGTGTTTTAAATGAAAGATCTCCTCCATGATTTCAAAAATATATAAGTGTGAAAATATTTTATTTAACGGATGTGTAATAATTTGTATTCGTTTTGAGGATAAGATAAAAACTTCTTGATGAACTTCTTGAGCTGTACGAAAAAATACTTCATTGTTTTAAATGTATGTTAGAGCTTTAAATATTTGTTATATATGTTCATTACTTTAAATATTGTGTGGTATAATTAGAGAATTTTCCAATTATATTTCTAATTTTAAACTTTTAAATAATTAATGTCGCGAATTATTAATAATTTAATACAATTATAATAACTGTGCTAGAATAAAATTGTCTTATTTAGTTTTAAATAAAAAGAATCATACATATAAAATAAAAATAAACACAATTTTTTTTCGTCAAAATTATTAGCATATTAATTAAAATTACATTTATTTCAATATTTATTAAGTTATTGAAATAAAATTAAAGTAATTTCTTTCATAAAATAGATTGAATGATAAAATGTTGGATTATTAAATTCAAAATTAATAAATTAAAAAAATGCAGAATTTAAAAATATTGAATTATAGAAAAAAAATAATTAACATTACATTTTGAAAAAAGCATTTAAAAAAATTAGTTCTCAAAACCATTGTAATGTTTTTTTTTTCTTTTTTTAACAGTATGGCTCTAAAAGCTTCACTTTGAACATTAATTGCTTAAAATTTCGATAAATTGGAGCCATTTCAACTAAAAGCCATTGGAATCTTCCTAATATTTTTCTCCTCACTGGAGAGAAGAGCCAATTAAGATCGTCGAGCACTGTAATACAAAAGAGCATCTTTCTCACTTATTTTAATTGCATTTTCTTCTGAAAGTGCAAATCCATCTCACACCAACACTTTTTTTCAGTAAAATGCATTAAGTGTACTTTAAATTTGGTTGGTAAAAGAAAGTTACATTCCTTTTAAAATTTGAATTGAAGATTTTTAAACGTTAACCGGAAAATTGTATTGCATTATTGATTTTTACATTACAATAAACTGTATAAACAGTTTTGCATTATAATAATGTATTTAATACTACATTTAAGAATGAAATGATATTAAAAAAAAACCTACATGATATTAAAGACCTTATACAAAAATTCACTTCGCTAATTTGCTGATTTAAAAAGGAGAGAAAAATGTTTGAATGTCTTTTAATTGATCTTAGAATTTCATAAATTTTTAATATATATATATATATATATATATATATATATGATTTGTGTTATTAAAATTTCTTTAACCGTGATTTGAAAATTTTGAATTTTATTCATTTTTGTTTGATAAATATATGCATAGTTTCATCACAGATTTTGTCTAAACATGAACTCTCCTCGAAATTTAAATAACGAGCTCCTTCTAAGAGAATTTAGATTATTTTTTTCTTGAAGTCAAAAGAATATCGAAAATTATGCACATATAAATTTCTGTGTAAATTTAAGATGGTGAAATTTGAATTAATTTAAAATGGAAACAAATATACATACACTTAATTTCTTTTTTACTGCTTGCGAATAAGGGCTGTCGAGTAGAAAGTGTAACTCATAAATGTTATGAAATTGAATTTCCTTTGTATCTAAAACCTTTTGAGAGAATAATAAGCGAATGATTAAACTTCTTTAATCAAGCAAGTTATTTTCTTCATATTGAAACTTAAATTAATTCTTACACATGTTAAAAAGAATTGAATGTTTAAAAATCGAAGTGCAAAATTAAATGTATGGCCTCACTGAATAAAAATGCCACTAAGGATACACAAATATTCACTTACAGAATTGTAGATCAATCAATAATCAATCTTGATACTCAATCCTAGAACAGTAAGATACACATGGTTGGAAATTAGCAACAATTTAAAATTTTTGATTTGTGGAATTATGTATAATTTTTATCTTCTGTTATTTTTAATTCTGTTCTAAATGCGTTGTTGATTTCATCAACGGAGATAAAAAGCTTCAGACTAAACGTGAATGTTATATTATATTAATCATTATTAGAAGTAGTTTTTGAGTAATAATGTAATAATATAGATTATAAATATCACTGTCAAGTAATGGTGGAATTTCATGACGACTTTTACCAAGTTAATTTCATTGTGTATATCAAAAAACTCACGACTATTAGGAAGACAGTTAGTTGTATTAGTGAAGAGAAATTATATAACTATAATTAACTGTAATTTGCTAAATGATACATCGATAATATGCTACAAAAGCCATCAAAACAAAAACCATCATGCTACATGGTTTCAATCTCAGGAATATTCAAGAAGATTAGGTTAGGGACATGAATGAAACGAAGATTTATTTTATTCTTTTTATTATTAATTTAAATTTCGTGAGTAATTATCTAAGAAGTTAATATAAATATCATTTTCATATCAATCAGACTTTACATTGTAAATGGATCTAGTTACCAAGCGTTTCACATTCTTTTTACGTTTCACATTGTTACCAAGATACTTATAACTCTAAAGAGCGCAAAAAGTGACTAAAGTGAGGCGAATTTTCAACTACTATAATTAGCTGCATTTTGCTAAATAATGCACTAATTATATAATTTAAGTACCATTGTTGAGGAGGTTGCTTTGGCTTTATGCAAATATTCAGGGAGAAGATGTTTGAAGAGATTATTTCTCCTATTACCTTACAAAATTTTCGTAAATAGTTAACTAAGAAATTTTTAAAAAATACCATCGTCTTATCAACCAGTAACCAGACCTAAAATTGCAAATGGTTTTAGTTACCAAGTGATTTTCATTATATCCATCAAGGTAATTACAACTCTTGGGATGACAGTTAGTGGCATAAGTTAAAATAATTTTTATATTACTATTCTTTGCTGTTATATGATAAATGATACACTAATTATATATTAAAAATGCCATCATTTTGTCATTTTGTAAACACAATATTTCATGGTAGGTAAATGGTTTCAATTGGCAAGTGTTCTACATCATATCCAGTTAAAAACTTATAAATACTTAAAGGGGGTTAGTGACATATAAATCGTAAGAAGATTTATTTTACTTTTTTATTATTATTTAAAAATTCTCAATCTAAATTGTTATAAATAACATCACCATATCAACCAGAATCTCACACTGTAAAGGATTTTAGTTACTAAGTGTTTGACAGTTATTAAAAAGTTTCGTGTCATAAATATATCTAATAATTTGTATAAATTGTATCAGCATATTTTGTGGCATTTGTGTTTATAACTTTATTATAATATCGACCAGATGAAATTTCAAAAGTCCTTAAATGAAGAAGGTTATGATTTCATGAGCGAAAAGCAGAATATTTTTATGTGAATGCGAATTGTATGAAGTAGCATCGCTAGTAAAAAAGAATAATAACCAAAAATATGTAGTGATAATTTTACCTGAGTTCGAGAAAGAAAAATTTTGGCGAATAAATCATAGGAGCTGGTGAGCAGTAGCGAACATGGGCTTTGATATCTAGCAGAATCATACTAATTTTGAGCAAACAAATGGTAAAACAAAATATATTTTATACCTCATGAATCATTATTGTACATTCTGTTTCATAGACTAAAGTTTAAATAAGAATTTAATATTATCCCTGTAATTAAATTAATTTAATTCACAGCCCTTAGAATATTCTGGTTTACATTGAGTAGTGGAAATTTAGTTTTCCTTACTCAATGAAAACTATTTTAATTTTATAGCAACTTTTAGATTATATCCACTACTCCTTATGATTAAACTTATAATATTTATTTTCGGAAAATTATTTTTCAGTTTATTATTTTATTATTCATTAATTAGTATTTCTTATTAAGTATTATTTGCAGTGTTTACCAAGAAAACACGTACTTAACTAAAACCACAGTTTAAAATATGTTATTTTCTCTTTTTCAAAGTCAGAAAATTTGAAAAAAAAATGCTGAGAAGAAAAATAAATCTTACCTCTTAAATATTTTGTTTAATTCATAAAGTTATAATATATGTATTTTATGTATAAAATACTTATTGGCAATGGAAACTCTTACCTTTAAAAGTTTACTTAATTTCGGGAAGAGTATACAGAATGAAGAGAAATTCAAGTTGTGTGATATTTTCGGCTACACATTTACTTACTTACTATTATAATTTTCTAAAATTGTTGAATTGAAATATGCTGAACTGCGAAATAAAGCTTTAGTTTAAGAAACATTATTCATTGAGAAGAATTAAAATTATTAATTTACAGTTGTGACAAAGTTATGTAAAACAATATTGAGTTTTAACAACTAAGAACTAAGAAAAATAATCTTACCTCAAAATGTTGCCGATAAATTGATTATTTTCTTAGGGTCTTCTAAATTATTAATTTTTTGGACCAAGTCAATCTTGAGGTTGAAAAATATGAAGATGTAAAGAATTGAAACTCTCAGATACTCCCTTTCTTATATTCCGGACTTTTGTTCAGGGTTGCCGTGAAGATGGACTTTCCGGAGCTGTCGCCAAGCTCTTCGGGAAAAGTTGCCAAAACTGATGTGTTGATAAATGGGACAAACTATGCACAGTTCAAAAACTTAAATTCCATTGAAAGAGTTGTCTCGAAAGGAATTATTTGAAAAATATCTTCTTAATAACACCTAAAAATGTTAAATTCTCAAAAAGCAATAAAATTATTAATTCTAAATATATTTTTATAAATAATTTTAAAATCTGAATTTTTTTCTAGAATTAATTATTATATTATTTAGAGTTAATTCTGTTTAATAAGAGACATAAATGTGAATTAGTTTTTTTAAACTTTTGTGTCAATTCAAAATAAGAAGTAATATTTTGTTCCTGTTTTTTTTTAATCACCGATATAATAAAATGTTAAACATTTTAGAGCTCAATTAAGGTTGTCAATTATTGTCAAAATTTAATTAAGTTTGTCGTTTGAGGTTATATAGAAATATTAAGGTTGTAAAGCATAATATTATCATTTTACTCTACCCCAACAAATTATACTATGCACCTACAAATCTAACGTAACAAACTAGTTTTTTAAACAATTTTAGGTAATATAATATAAGAACCTTGTTTGAAAAAGCCCCTTGTTAGTATCAAAATTAAAAACTTTTTTTTAACCTTAATTTTCAATTTTTTTTTATTTAATTGGTCCACCCGAATATTTCAGAAAGTCTTCGGTACTTTGTTTTTTGTTAACCAATAAGGAAAAGTATTTAAAGAACTTAAGTTGCATTTAAATGCACGTTTATGAAGTATTAAGATTAACTTATGTTCTTATATTGTTTTAACCTAACAATGATAATTAAAATGTATGAAAAAATTAAGAAAATGTCAGCAATTTATACAGTCAGAAAAAAAATTAATATCAAGTTTTATTTTCTATAATCATAAAATTGTTGTGGAATTTAGGGAAAATTTTTATGTTACTAATAAATGGAATCTAGAAAATTTGATTTATTTGGAGTAAAGATTACAAAAAAAAACCTGAATTTAAATTTAATTTTGCTTTACATAAAAATATACTGTAAACCTGCAATTTGATTATATATATTTACAATGTTTTATGCCCGGAAAATAAAATTATAAAAGAAACTAAGTCGTTTTATGCCAAACAGAGACTAATATTAGTCTCTTGACTTTGATTATCCATTTTATTTCAGTCTATTATAAATATATTTACAGTTTTAATCTCTTAAATTACAAACTTATTTATTATTTATGGCTTATTAGATTTCTAAACTTAAGCTATTAGTCATGTATCGTACGACAATAGTTCTTATAGTTCTAAGAAGAAAAGTCTTATCTATGAGAAAAACTTAATTTCTTAAAAATATTAATTTTTATTTTAATAAATTTAATTATGGTTATAATGAGTTAAAATAGTAGCAGAAAAAATTCTTGCTAAAAAACATATCCGCCACTTTATAACTATCCAATTCAGCAGGTATTAAAATGCATGATACTTACCCAATAGTTTTAATTTTTCCTATTATTAAAAAATCATCCTTTTTTATGATTTTAAAAATGGATTGTTTAAGAAAGTGCAGCAAATGAGTCAAAGTTCTTAGGAAGATCAATTCTAATTAATCTTATTGGGAATCTAATTGTTGATTTCTGAATTCTTAGTTACAAATTATGAAAAATCACACATATAATGTGATTCTTTAAATTTTTAGTGGTTCAACAAAGTATTTCCTTATTAAAGATAATGCATTTAAATAATTCAGTTTTAAAGAACCAAACCTTTATATAAGGCTTATTTTTCAGCTGATTTACGAAAAAAATAATAATAATCTTAAAGTTATAATAATTTCTTATTTTTTATATTTTCAAACTGCAGAATGCAAAATAAGGTTATTAAAAAATCAACTTTTAATAAGGTTTCAAAAATATTATTATTAATTTATATTGAAATCTGAATTCCAGTTTGAAAATTGAAATCTTTCCAGAGACGAAAATATTTTTAATTAAAGGCGCATTTTTGTCTTGCGGTTATAAAAATTAGACTACACAAAACAGAGATGTTTGCCACGAACTTAGAATTTAGTGAAAGATTAAAGGAAAATACGAGACTTTAAAGCCTGGCTACTATAAATTAATATTATAAATTATAAAAATATTCATCTAGAAACTAAAGGAAACTAGGGTAATAAACTTGCAAAAGGGATCAAAGAAATATATTTAGAAAAAAATAATGTGCATGCATCTCAACTTCATTATATTTCAATTATTATTAAAAATGTTATGATTTAAAATTAAATTTAAAATTTAATTTAAGATATAGTATTGAATTAAAATATAATCGAATCAAACCATTATAATTTAGTCAGCATTTTATAAAGTCAAGTAAATGCTTTACGTTACTTTAAATATTTTTAAATATGTAATAACTGCTTATTCAACCTATCATTTTCCAGTTGATGATCTTTAATAGGTTTTGTTCATCATGGGACTTAAAATATACCCTATTCTACATGGAGAATTTACAACAATTGGGTCAATTTAATATGTTTCCGATTATGGTTTTAACAATAATGTCAAAATTAGAGTTACTCCCTCTCTCCATTATGGTCTGCTCATTTCAGTCAATTTTAAACAAGGATGTATTCAATCTTAGCAACACTAGAAATTCATTTCACAATAAACTCAATAAGGAATACTCTAAATGTTCAAATTTTTATCATTTTTAATTATAATTATTAAATTTTGCTAATTAACTTATTACAATTTATTATATTTTTATATTTATTATACATTATAACCTAATAAATTTTATTACTTTTTATAAAATAATAATGATAATTACTTTTTGAAATATGTATTTTTTAAATTATGAATAATAAATTTAGACATGACTCTGTATGCTAGTGACTATTAATAAGGTGTAAAAATTATTTTATTTTTGTTTGTTTATTATTTTATTTTTATTATTTTTATTTGTTTTAAAATATTTTCAAGTAATATTGGAATAATCGTCCTAGGATAGATAGATTTGTTACTGGATAGATGTTCATGCATTAGCAGAGAACCTAGATGGAGGAAAAACATCACCAGTAAATATCTCAGATTTATGAGCATTAATTATGAAAAAACTTCCATGTGTGTAAAAAAATTTGCACGAAGAATATTAATAGACTTAACTTAAATGTAAATGGAATTTGCACATTCTTTTCGTTCAATAAAAAATACTACTTCGAAACTATGATTTGAATATTTAAAATCTGTAATTAGCATCTTTCACTCTGCCCTTTTTTTAAAATTTATAAAAAAAAAATATATATAAAAATATATGTGTAAAAAAATATATATATAAAAAAATATATAAAAAAGAAATAACGTGCATGGTTTTTGAAACTTCGCATATGCTTTAGTTGAAATTAAAATCACTGCACAAATTGCTTTAGTTGATAAATGTTTACAATAATGAATTTATGAAATAGACAATAAAACTGTACTTAAAGAATTTCGAAAGAATATTTTTCAGAGAAATGCAAGAACATACTTAACCTTTTAAATATGGAATCTATTTGCAAATTTGTATAAATTTCTTTGTAATTGTGATAAATTAAAATAAATAATTTAAGCATAATATTTAAAAGATTAACGTAATCCTACTGCAAAGTTTGGAAAATTTACTTTAAACATTTTATTTACTTCGAATCCAAGTAGAGGTAGTTTCAAGATAATTTCAGGTAAATTCAAGAATCAATCTGCAGTAATATCCTCAAAAATTCAAATTTATCATCGACTTCAACGCAGTCGAAAAGAGATTGATACTGTGAAAAGTAAGCTAAATATAAAATAGATTTATCATGCATTCCAAATATTAAATGTATTAAAATTATACACAAAAACTGTTTTTATTGAAACGTGGTTCAAATTTAATTTGAATTTCATGCAATCGCACCTTAGCTTTCCTTAAAAAGAGAAAAAACAGGGGCTAAAACTAAGCCCAATACAAAACTTTCACTTGCAGATGATAAGGAAAAAAATAAAAAGAATTGTAATTTATTGTGTTCTGATTTGTCCTTATTTAATTTTTTTTAAAATTCATTCTATACCATCTTGGCAAGCATATGAAACAACAATCAGAAAAATAAACATTAGGTGACTGTCTTTCTTGAGTATCAATTTTTTTTGAAAAAAGAGCTACTCCTTATTTTATATAATAGACGACAGAAAAATGTTATAAAGTTTTTGTAATTTTTACTTATTATTGGTTTTCCTAGCAAGCGTTTTTTCTTCTTTTAAAATCTGAGGTGGGCAAAATCAGCAGATGCTTTTATAATCTGCAGTGCCCACTGCCAAGCTGGAGGATTTCTTCTTCCAGGGTACTGAAGAAAATAAATAAAAGCAGAATTTAATTTCAGTAACAGCTTTGCTTAGAAGGTCGCAAATTTTAGTTGATTAGATTCAAAGTCACTCTTCTCAAATTAATTAAATTAACAATAAGTTTTTTTTCTTCTTTTTCGCATTAATTATAAAACGTAGTTCAAAGTAGTTTGCTACTCAAAATTATGGATAATTAATTGCATTTGTTAGAATACTATACACTTCTTGATATTAAAATGTTAAATGACACTGCAAATAAAATAATCTTAAAATCATAGTAAAATAGAACTAAAAGACTATGAAGCAAAATAAAATAACCATCTACTAAATTGAATTAATACTATAATCTAATTAAATGAAATTGAATATGAATATTACTGTTTAATTTGGATTTATGTAAGTGTATAAAAGTGTACCTAATAAAAATATTTCAAAAATATTGCATAAAATAAAATATTTTTAGATATTTGTTTAGACTTAACACATAATTCAATCTCAGTATTGACTGATTTTTTTTGTTAATTTAAAAAAAAATACTTACTCGTGTTTTTAATCAACGTATTTTTAGTTTTAATGCTTTTTTTGTAACTTAAATTTAGATTTTGAAGA